AAAAAAAAAAAAAATGCAGCACCATCATTTGTATTCTAGATAGTCAGGGACTGGAACAAACCACAAGCACCATCAACCAACCAACCAACCAACCAACCAACCAATCAACCAACCAACACCAAACCCAATCACCAACCAACCAGTCTAAAACACGGTAGCAGGTAAAGAACCTCTTCCATGTCCCTACCACACCTTGCAGCCAGTAGTTCTCCCAGGAACATTTCAACTTTATGAACTTCATTTTTCTTCTCAGGAATATGCTGTTTACTCTCTCCCAAGTTTTCTGTACTTAACCTTTCTTCCATTTCACAGATCCATAAGTTCAGTTTTCTGTGCTGATCCTCAAAGCTAAAGAAAAGGAAAATGCCTTAAAGAAAATCTTATATGCTGGTTATAATAAATGAATTCTAACAGCTGTAGTCACAACGTCTTTTATATAGCAATTAAGAGCTCATGAATTTTCAAGTTACAGAAGTAAACTCAACAATGGGCCCATCAAATTATCACTTATTTCAGTAACAAAGTGACAAATCATGGTAATTTCTTTTGAGATACAAGCAGAAAAAGAATCACCTCACCTAGCTAAACTGATTTCATAGCCGGTAACTGCCAGTAAGATTGCACTCCCATGTCAATATGAACTTAACTTTGTGTCTCACTACAAAGAATTAGGGACCACAGATCAGTGCAAGCCCTGGGGAAAGAAGTCTCCGTGTCTTTGTTTCTCAAGGAATCTGAATATGGCACAGGAGTTCTAAAATTTGAAAACAACATAAGCTCTCCAAGAAACCTGGACAAGAGTCAGGCAAATTACTCTTCCACTGGAAAGGCACTTTGATTACATGGATGTCTTTTCTCCCTCTAGTTAACAAGGGTTTTATTTTTTCCTTCTAAATTTATATTCACCTCTGCTGACACATACTCATATATATTACTGATTGGAATCATGACTCATAGAATTCAGTGATTGCTTTCTGCCATAACTCTATCCTAGCAGAGGTAGACACAAGGAAAAGGCTTGGGTAATCTAAAAACTGTGGTGTCAAAGCTCTAATATCTTGAACTGACCAAATACTCAAAAAATACATGCATTTACATCATTTATAATTACTAGTGAATATAATTCCTTTGTTTTTTCTACATAGAAAATAAAGCCAAATGATAACTTCAAAGTCTGAGCAATCAATTATTGTCCTAGGATGAAACTGTTAAGGCAAATCTTACTATCATTTAAACTCACAATTTGAAATATTATTTGTTTATTCATGTCGCTCTTTTCTCTTAAGTCTTTAAAAACACATTCTGTGTATGATGAAATCTACATTTATGGTATAGGAGAGGTTGGTTAACAGATACAAAAATTACAGCTAGGTAGGATTAATAAGTTCTAGTGGTCTATAGTAGTGCTAGGCACCTATAATTAACAATAATTTATTGTACATTCTCCGTTTGCCAGAAGAGAGGGGCTCAAATTCTATAATCACAAAGAAACGATAAATTTTTGCAATAATGGATATGCTAATTACCCTGATTTAATCATCACACATTATATACATGTACTGAAATATAATTCTGTATCCCATAAATATGTACAATCAATATGTGTCAATTAAAAATACATATATAACCTATAATATACTCTTAATCAGAACTTGGTTTGCAAAGTGTAAAGCAATTGGATAAACTGCAGGAGTCTTAATAAGCGTTCATATCTTATTCCTTATTTAAAACGTCTTTCCTGTCTTTTACTGTCTAGATTATGCTATAGTTTACTCCTTTGTCTTTCAATGCTTAGATCCACTTTACTGAATAAAAATTACTAATTGTTTCCTAGAAAACGAAACAAATAAAACAAAACAAACACCCACCTCCCAAGTTCTGAAGCACAGTCTTGAAGAGCCTGTTTGTCTTTAAGGCACTGTTTCAGAAATGCCTGAAACTCTTCATTAGACTTTGTAATTTGTTCCTGAATGCTACTGACAATTTGTTTAGACAGATGTGCATACAAAGTTTGTCCTTCTTGAGTCACTGCATCAAGCTTGCTCTGCCCATCACTGACTGAGTCCAAAATGTTCTGTTTCAGGAAATAAAGGCAACGTAAAATATTTGCTATTTTTCAGAGACCCTCGTGCAGGGCAGCATTCATTCCAAGTCTGAGCTGAGACAGCAGAGCAAGAGAAGAAAAACAAAGCCCAAAGGAAAAAAAGTCTAACGGGGCTGGAGTGAGAACGAGGCATGCAGTTGGACATAATTAAGGCTCCTGACTGAGGACGTTAAGGAGCCAGCCATTGGAAGCCTGAGGACAAACAGAACAATGTCAAGCTGGAAAAGAGCATGCTCTCAAGGTCTCATTCTCAGTCTTTCTCCATTGTCCCTGTCCCAAACTAGTCCAGGTTTCATCTTCTCACATGGTTACAGTGACATCCCTACTGGTTAGCAGCCTCCAGCTCTTCTTCCTCCTCCTCCTCTGATCCACCCTCCCACCAAATTCTGTCCTCAGGTCCATTCTTTTCTTGGAATGCATCTCTTTTTTGGAGGATCTATGCACAGGTATGGCTTCACCAAAGCAAAAGAATCCCAGAATCCACTGCTTAGTCCTGCCTTTCCCCAGTGCTCCAGAGTGGCATTTCAATTGTCACTCAGATGTGTCTTTGTGGAGTTCCATTGTCTCTCAAGCTTAAAAGGAGATGATTCCACATCTGAATTCACCACCCCTCTTGCAAAACCAGCTTCCTTTATTGCAACAATCTTCCTACCCTGACTTCTAATGTAATGAGTTACCTACATCAATTTCATTACCCATTAAGCCACAAAAGCCTCATGCACCTTGTTAAGTTTTTAAAATTATTTTCACAATACTTAACATAATCTGTTGCTTAGATTAGCTGCTTGAAAAACTTGGCCAAAACCTAATTTGAACCTATTCCTCTGTAAATTATTTCTTAACTCTGCTTCACAATGGCCTTTTCCTTCCTGAATTGATATGTATCTCATGGTCAACACAATTTATAAAACCTGTAATATCTATTACATTAGTTTGAATATATCCTATCTCCAAATGTAGTCCATAAGTTATTAAAAATCACAAGCCTTGTCTTCTCCTTCTTTTAAAAACTCCTCCACAATAGTGATATAAAATGGATGCAATTATTTACACTTTTACTGATATAAAAATTTAAACTAGGTTTAGCTTTGAATGAATTTCAAAGAGTGTTCAATAGGCTAAAAGGAGAGAGGAAAGGGATCTAAAAATTGTCTAACTTCAATTTATTTTCTCAACTTGCTCTTCACATTGCCTGTCTCCTGAATCAAGCTTAATTCTGCTAGGGAAAAAGAAAAGACTGAACAAAATAAGACTTGGGAAAAGAGATTATTTAGGTCTGACCTGAAGGCACTTATGTGCAGTTTGGGGAAGAGGAGGAAGGATGCCAGTTTTCATACCTGAAGGTCATGCAGCTTTGCCTCCAGAACTTTGCTGTCACCAGTTCTGTCTGATGATTCTTTTGCTGCTGCCTTAGCTCCCAAAAACCATTCTTGGAATTCCTGCATAGAATCTTTTGAAAGTAATAAAAATCAGGAATAAGCCCAAAACATTGAATGAACTTCAATCAGCACAATGAATTATTTCTGGCCTTTTGCTCATCTCATCTTGCCTTATAGAAAATAATACAGGATGATCTACAACCACGACTGTTCATGACAGAAATGAGAAATGATCTCAGAGAAAAGGCTGAAAAGAAATCTGTATTACTAGAATGTCTTCTGATTCTCTACTGCCTTTCTTTTTTTAGGTAAAGAAAGGTATTTCATTGCCTGAGTATATGAGTTTAAGGTGAGATATGTTCCAGGGGCATTAAAGCTATTTCTATGGCACAGGGAGGAACCATCCTGTCTTTCGACCACGTGGACTTAGAGAGTCACAGTGCACCCCCAGCAGGACACAGGCACAGCTCCATGGGAAGCAGAAGCTGGACACAGGATCTGCAGTTTCCTGAATTTGCATGGCTGTCATGGTTATTAAAAATCACAAGCCTTGTCTTCTCCTTCTTTTAAAAACTCCTCCACAATAGTGATATAAAATGGATGCAATTATTTACACTTTTACTGCTATAAAAATTTAATCTAGGTTTAGCTTTGAATGAATTTCAAAGAGTGTTCAATAGGCTAAAAGGAGAGAGGAAAGGGATCTAAAAATTGTCTAACTTCAATTTATTTTCTCAACTTGCTCTTCACATTGCCTGTCTCCTGAATCAAGCTTAATTCTGCTAGGGAAAAAGAAAAGACTGAACAAAATAAGACTTGGGAAAAGAGATTATTTAGGTCTGACCTGAAGGCACTTATGTGCAGTTTGGGGAAGAGGAGGAAGGATGCCAGTTTTCATACCTGAAGGTCATGCAGCTTTGCCTCCAGAACTTTGCTGTCACCAGTTCTGTCTGATGATTCTTTTGCTGCTGCCTTAGCTCCCAAAAACCACTCTTGGAATTCCTGCATAGAATCTTTTGAAAGTAATAAAAATCAGGAATAAGCCCAAAACATTGAATGAACTTCGATCAGCGCAATGAATTATTTCTGGCCTTTTGCTCATCTCATCTTGCCTTACAGAAAATAATACAGGATGATCTACAACCACGACTGTTCATGACAGAAATGAGAAATGATCTCAGAGAAAAGGCTGAAAAGAAATCTGTATTACTAGAATGTCTTCTGATTCCCTACTGCCTTTCTTTTTTTAGGTAAAGAAAGGTATTTCATTGCCTGAATATATGAGTTTAAGGTGAGATATGTTCCAGGGGCATTAAAGCTATTTCTATGGCACAGGGANTATATGAGTTTAAGGTGAGATATGTTCCAGGGGCATTAAAGCTATTTCTATGGCACAGGGAGGAACCATCCTGTCTTTCGACCACGTGGACTTAGAGAGTCACAGTGCACCCCCAGCAGGACACAGGCACAGCTCCATGGGAAGCAGAAGCTGGACACAGGATCTGCAGTTTCCTGAATTTGCATGGCTGTCATGGTTCCGTGGCCTCTCCTAATGTTCAAGCTTACTGTGTCACTTTGTCACAGCATAAAGAAATTCAGTAGTTATTCAGGCAGTGGCTGCCACTCAAACAGTGGAAGTGATTTTCCACACACACGAGCTATAGGTGGAATATCCAGATGAAATTCAGAATCATCAAAATGGTGGGTTCCTGCTTTCTTGGGGAGGAAGAGGAAGAACTCTGCATAGGATGAGAAGCCCAGCACAGCGCTCCCACTGCTCAGATCTCAAAGCTCACATGAACTTAAAATGCTATCCTTGTGGAAAGTTTCCTCCAACTTTTGCTGGCAGTTTCTAGGCAGCATTTGGTTTGGATTCTTTCCCATCAACAAACTATACACGCTAAGGCCCATCCGAGCTCACCATTGAAGTGCTGTTCCAGCAATTCCTGCAGGCTGGCCTGGGTTCTGGAGCAGAGCTGGCTCACAGCTTCGTGTTTCTTGATCAACCCAGTCATCGCGCGGCCCAGGAGCTCCAGCTCACCTGAGTGGTACCTGCGGCACAAGCTATTGAGGCTCTCTTGGGTAGAGCTGNGTTTCTAGGCAGCATTTGGTTTGGATTCTTTCCCATCAACAAACTATACACGCTAAGGCCCCTCCGAGCTCACCATTGAAGTGCTGTTCCAGCGATTCCTGCAGGCTGGCCTGGGTTCTGGAGCAGAGCTGGCTCACAGCTTCGTGTTTCTTGATCAACCCAGTCATCGCGCGGCCCAGGACCTCCAGCTCACCTGAGTGGTACCTGCGGCACAAGCTATTGAGGCTCTCTTGGGTAGAGCTGATGTTCCTTTGCTGACTTGGAAGCTCTTTCTGTATTTCCTACAGAATAAAAGCGTACCATGAAGGATATTCATCACATTCGAGAGAAACACTCCCTCTACTCCACTATGATATATATATATATATATATATATATGAACCTGAAAGTAATGCTGCTGCAATTCACTCAGCAGTATATACATTTAGATGGGATTTTTTGAGTATTTGTGATAGATCTGTCTTGATTTATTCCAGAATTTTGCCCAGTTCTCCTTGGGAACAAATAGCTGTTGAGAGGTGGCTAGAATCTGGGATTTCAAGCAAATTGAACAGGTCCTTAAGGATTTGAGCCCATGACAGTGAGTTTAGTCACTTGATTAGAAACTATCACAGTTCGCATTCTTCAAAGGGCCACTTGGGCTTTGTTTCAGGGTCACAGGCTGCATCAAAAGCACCCGTTGTTAATTTAAAAACATATGTCCTTAGTCTCAAGAGCANGTACCATGAAGGATATTCATCACATTCGAGAGAAACACTCCCTCTACTCCACTATGATATATATATATATATATATATATATGAACCTGAAAGTAATGCTGCTGCAATTCACTCAGTAGTATATACATTTAGATGGGATTTTTTGAGTATTTGTAATAGATCTGTCTTGATTTATTCCAGAATTTTGCCCAGTTCTCCTTGGGAACAAATAGCTGTTGAGAGGTGGCTAGAATCTAGGTTGTAGTCTGGGATTTCAAGCAAATTGAACAGGTCCTTAAGGATTTGAGCCCATGACAGTGAGTTTAGTCACTTGATTAGAAACTATCATAGTTCGCGTTCTTCAAAGGGCCACTTGGGCTTTGTTTCAGGCTGCATCAAAAGCACCCGTTGTTAATTTAAAAACATATGTCCTTAGTCTCAAGAGCAGTAAGAAAATATGCTAAATGATAACAGACCACATATGTTGAAAATAAAACTCAGTGCACATTCTTTACAGACGGTTGATCAGAAACATCATCTATTAATATGGCCTGATATTAACATGGAAGTGAAATGTTTTTTCAACTTTTTTTTCCCCCAAAATGTATCATTCTTTAGATAAAAACAGTCATACTGGCAAATAAAAAGAATTAAGTGGTAGATAACTGCCTGGCATTCAAGCTTGAAAATTCATGGAAAGTAAAATAGTTTTCTATAGGCTCCACTATTTTACCAAAAATATAAATATATAAATATACAAATATATATATATATATATATGTATATATGTTTGTGTGTATATATATATATAGGCCATGCTTATTTTTATATAGATGTATA